AGCTATAAATCAAAGATGAATGAGAATTTCTAAAAGTACCAAATTCTGACCTAAATATTTTCATAGATTCAATCCTAAAATTCTCCTAGCTCAATAAAAATAAATGAAAACTATGGACATGTACAGCTTCAGGGCAATGATGTCTACATTTTATCTTCACAAATGCAAGCCTAACAATGCCTAAATGAGAAGATAGAAGTTCAAAAAATATACCTCAAAACTAGAAATCGTGAAATGAGTTTGAGCTTGATTCAAGGTGCTGAAATGATTAGGTTAGCTTCCTTGAGTCTCTAGGAAGCTAATGCAATGCTTAGCTTGAGTTGAGAGTGGCTGAAATGGCCTGGAGAAGTCAAGTTGCAGACTCTGTTTTTTGGTTATGGAGGTTATGATAAATGGTGTTACAGTTCTGGAATGAGGATGGAGATGAGTTGTATTTGATATGTAGGAGCTTTTGGAAGTGAAAGGTCGAGAAATGCATGAGGGAAATGAAAGTTTGATATGTAAAGTCAGAACTTGCACAACAATGGTTTTTTGAGGCAATTTCTGGCTAGAGGGAGTTTGGGAGAGTTTCAAGGTGTTAATGCTCGTGTGTTAGCTCACAAATAGTGCCTCTGTTTATAAGCAACAAGTTTGGAGACTTGTTGATCAGAATTCAAAATCACAAGTTTAAGCATAACATGTGATTTTTGAGAAATCCAAGTTTCAAAGTCTTGTGTACTTGCTAATGTAGAGTGGTTATGCTTTAAACACACTTGCTTTTGACTTTGTAAATGAAGTGTGATTAGGGGGAACAAGTTAGAGGATCGAGAATTGACTTTGTGCATAAAGCTTGCTTTTCAATAATGGCATTCTTCACTTTCTTCCCAAAATGGCAATGTGAATTGGATAAAGCTTAAACCATTTGGATTATAGATCAAAAGTTTTGTAATCTATTAATGATGGATAGATACACAAGTTAGAAGACCTGTAAAGCAAGATTATGCAGCCTAACATTGAAATTACATTATGTGTTCATCAAGAAATGACTTGTAATTCAAGAATGAAACCCTAACTTCTTGCCTTCGATTCTCCTTTCTCAAACATGATCTCAATGAGTTCTTGACTTTTCCAACACTTAGAAAAATTTCTAAGTTTAGAAATTTTGACTTTTCAAAATGAAATCTTGACTTTTTGATTTCTTGATGAACAAGTTTCATATTTTGACATGTCTTTATGAATTGTGATCTTTGATAATTGATTTTGATCAAAAAGTCAAAGTTTGACTTTTCAGTATACAATTGACTTTTCATCAGTTGACTGAAATTCAACTATCAATCAATTGATCTTTGAGAGATGTTTTGAGCCATTCCAATAGTTCAAAATTAAGCATATGAATCCTTGAAATCATGCCTCAAATCAATCAATCCTTTGCTAGGTCAAAAATCAGAAATTGCATCTTCTCAGTCAAAACCCTAATTTTGACCATTTTGCCCTTTTGATGATCTGATCAAATTTCTTGAGGAGTTGTGATCCAAACTTGATCAAATGACATATATGAGTTCATAATATTGATATGGCCCAAAAAGTATGAAGTTTGACTGTAAATTAACCACTGTTGACTTTTTCCCCAATACAGCTGATTTTAGGTCAACTGATCAATTGACTGAGCAAAAATGTGATCCAAGACTTGAAGCTTGGCATAAGAAATCTTGAGGGTCCAAAATGATCCATGAAAGTCATATGGGGCATTAAAAGTTCATTTGTCCTTGTGCAATCTCAAACCCTAATTTTAAGTCATCAGTGCTAAAGGAGGTGTCTTGAGCTGATCAACCCTTGTGCAGTCTTGAATCAAAGGAGATCTTGTGAGAGATTACTTGAGAAATGAGAGGGAAAATTTTAGGGTACAACACCAAGTATTGAGATGCCCAAAAAACTCTTTGAAGGTTTTTTAGTCGGAAAGTAATCTAGAAATTTTTTCATTTTGAATATGCCAATGAGATTATCCTCCATACTCGAAGTGGTTCATTCAGATGTATGTAGTCTATTTGAAGAACATACCATTGGTGGAAACAAATATTTGTTTTTGTTTGTTGATGAGTATCGTCGAAAGCAGTGGATCTATGTGATCAAGAGAAAGGAAAAAGTATTCGAAATCTTTAAGAGATTCAAGATACTTTTTGAAAACCAGAGTGAGAAGAGGATCAAAGTTATGTGAACAAATGGAGGTGGCGAATACACATCCAAGATGTTTGAAAATTTCTATGCAGAACATGGTGTCGATCATAAGGTAACTGCTCCTTATATGCCTTAATATAATGGAATTGCATAAAGAAGAAACATAACCATATTGGATATGGCAAGATGCATGCTAAAGCTGACAAATTTGCCAAAGTCTTTATGGGGAGAAGCTGTTTCGACTGCAGTTCATATTTTGAACAGGTGCCCTACCAAGAAATTAAAGAACAAGGTTCTTGAAGAAGCGTGGAGTGGAAAACAACCATCCGTGAGTCATTTGAAGGTGTTTTTATCTATGTGTTACAAGCATGTTCCTGATGCAAGAAGAAGGAAGCTTGATGACAAAAGTGAAGCTATGATTCTGGTAGGATATCATAAAACTGGTGCGTACAGGTTATTCAATCCAATAAATGAGAATATTGTGTTGAGTTGAGACATTGTGATTGATGAAAATTCTGCCTGGGATTGGAATTCTAATGATGCAATTAACAATCCATTGGTGAGCTATGGTTTCGACGAAGAAACTGATGAAGTCGAAGTCGAAGAAACTGCAGATATACCAGTAGAAGTTAATGTCAAAGCAGTTGTTGACATTCCCAACAATGTCGAAGTCGAAGAGGGTGTGGCTGGTACAAGTCAAAGACTTCAAAGAACTTGAGTTCTTCTAACAAGACTTCATGATTATGAAGTAGTTGGTGATGATGAAGTTACACCAGATGGAGAATTAGTTCATTTTTCTTTACTTGCGGGTGCTGAACCAATCAACTATAGTGAGGCTTTAAATATTAAACAGTGGAAGTCTGGTACGGTCGAAGAGTTGCATGCAATCGAAAGAAACAACACGTGGGAGTGAGTCGAATTTCTAGCACATAGAAAAGCTATTAAAGTAAAGTGGGTGTTCAAGTTGAAACACAATGTAGATAGGTCGATAGCAAGACATAAAGCAAGATTACTAGCTCGAAGTTTTCTTCAAAGAGTAGGACTCGAATACTCTGAAGTATTTGCTTCAGTAGCAAGATTGGATATTGTTCGACTAGTGATAGCCTTGGCATGCAACTAAGGTTAATCGACATTTCATTTAGATCTGAAATCAGCATTTTTGAATGGTCCTTTATACAAAGAGGTTTATGTCACACAACCTCCATGGTTTTTGATTCAGAAGGAAAAGAGTAAAGTATATAAGTTGCACAAAGCGCTCTATGGGCTCAAGCAGGCACCTAGGGCATGGAATAAGAAGATCGACTCATACTTAGTCGAATTAGGATTTGTCAAATGTAAATCAGAGTATGGTGTCTATGCTTAAGTTGTAACACAAGATATAACAACCATCTATTTATACGTCAATGAGTTGCTAGTAATTGGAAATAGCTTGGAGAACTTGTCAAAGTTTAAAAAGTTGATGATGAAGGAATTTGAAATGTCGGATCAGGGAAAATTTTCTTATTTCTTAGGCATGGAATTTCAAATATCGAAGCAAGGTTTGGTGCTACATCAAAGGAAGAATGTCAAAGAGATACTCAAGAGATTCATAATGGATGATTCTAATCCTGCATCCCCATCTGTCGAATCAAATGTGAAATAGGAGAAGAATGGAGAGGAAGACAAAGTTGATGTAACTTTGTTCAAGCAAATTGTGGGATCTCTAAGGTATGTGTGCAATAGTCAACCTAATATATGTTTTGCAGTCGGATTAGTGAGTAGATACGCGAGTGAACCAAGGGTTGATAAACTGTGGAATACTATTTTGTTAAGACTCTTAAAGCAAAGAAAATATAGTTAATCATTTTTAGATGCTGATTGGTGTGGAGATAAGGAAGATCAGAAAATCACAAGTGGATATTTTTTTCAAGTATTTGGTGCTCCAATCTCATGGTGCTCGAAAAAACAACCTGTGGTGGCATTATCATCGTGTGAAGTTGAATATATATTAAGATCCTATACTGCATGTCAAGCAATTTGGATTAAATCGCTACCATGGAGGTCGAAGTGAAGAAACCTCTTGTATTGCAAATCGACAACAAGACAACTAAAAATCTGATGAAGAATCCAGTTTTGCATGGAAGAAGGAAGCATATAGAAGCTAGGTTTCACTTCTTGGGGGAAAAGATAAATCGAGGTGAACTTGAAGTTAGACATTGCTCAAGTGAAGCACAATTGACTGACATTTTCATCAAAGTTTGAAGATTGACAGATTCCTGAGTTTGAGAAAGAAATTATGAATAGTTCAGATTGACTATGATTAGCGTAGGTTCGACGACTTGGATTATAGGAGATATATTGAGATATTAGATATAATATCAATTATAATCCAAATTAGATATTTTAAGATATTAGATATAATATCAAATATAATCCAAATTGGTAAACCCAAATCCAATCAGGATTGTATATAAATAGGCATCATTTGTATCATTATATATACAATTTAATTCATAATAAAATCATTATTTTTTTATTATTATATCTTTTTCTCATCACTAAAAGTGTCTCACGCACTAACAAATAACACTGAACTTTCCTCTATTTGTAAATCTTCACAATGATCATATTAATATCATCCCAAAAACTCAAATAATAAACTTTCCTGCTATTTGTAAATCTTCACAATCATCTTATTAATATCATCCCAAAAACTCAAATAAATAAAAAAATACTAATATAATGAAATATTAAAACAAAAAGAATAGTTAAATACAAAGGCAAAAAAAAGAAAAATCTATATAGTTTATTTTTTAATTTTAATTAATGTAACCATATAATAATATAATATATGGTGTATAAGATTTTCAATGGTATTGGTAATGGTTACACTCCTGAGCCGGTCTAATTTTCAGGTAACCAGCTTTGGAAGGACACGTCATCTGGATAGGAGGAACCATACAGTTATACTGTAAACAAAGAGAACTGCTCAACGGAATCTCCGCCGTTGGATTTATCACAATTCCTGTAAGATAATTATGCTGCAAATACAGTATCTGAATATTCGCTGCTAACAACCGTTCAACAAAACTACCGGGAACTTCGCCGGTGAAAGCGTTGTTGTTTAGATACAAATTGTGCACACTAGATAACAAAGGTGATATTTCACCTGATAGTTTGTTGTAACTGAGATCAACGGTTTGGATTGTAACTTCGCTAAACGGTTCAACCGGACCGTATAGTTGGTTTCTTTCTAACTGTAAGTTGGTTAGCGGGAATGAGAATAGTTGACGCGGGATTGAACCGGTGAACCGGTTGAAGCTTAGATCGAGATAGTTGAGGCGGTTTAGTTTGTATAAAACCCGGTCCACTGTTCCGGTTAGCTGGTTCCATGATAGAGAGAGGTATTGTAGTGAGGAAGGGAGAGAATCGGGAGTGAGTGAACCGGTGAGTGAGTTGTGTTTTAGATCGAGCCGGTTTAGGTTTTTTGCTGAAGCGAAAGATGGAATTGAACCGGTGAGACGGTTATGACGGAGCATCAGGTTGTTTAGATTCGGTAATTTTCCGATTGACGGAGGAATAGCTCCGGCTAGCTGATTGTAGCTTAGATCGATTGTTCTGAGATTGCGAAGCTGACCTAGTCCAGCCGGAATCTCGCCGGAGATGAAATTCCGGCTGATGCCGAGAAACTTGAGGTTGTTCAATTTGGAAATGGACTGAGGAAGAGGACCGTAAACTCTACCTGCAGAAACCGTTAAGTCGACGAGAGAAGAGAGTTTTCCAACAGCGGTGTCTATTTTCCCGGTTAAACCAGGAGAACCGGCTCTCGGTTCGCCGAGATTGAGAGCTACAACTTTATCGGAAACACAAAAAACTCCGGCGAAGTTGCAAGGATCGTCTGTGAAGTCCCAAGATGAAAAGAATTTGGAACCAGGAACATCGTGCAAAGATCTTCGAATAGATTGCAATGCTAAGAAATCAATAGGATTTAAGATTGCTCGTGTGGATTGAAAGAAGCACAAAAGAATCAAAGAAAACGTAGAAATCTTCATTGTTTAGATGGAGAAGAATACAAGAACAACTTTTTGATGCGTTTTTATAGTGATATTGTGAGTGATGATACAAACCTTTTTATCTTCTTTCTCGTGAGTAGCGGTGTGAGGTTTTAATGGCGGAAGTGAACAATTATCAGTGACAGTAGAAAATCAACTAACTCTAGCTGGCTTGGAAGAGAAGCAATTCTTTTTTGTGAATCAATGTTTTTGCTTTTTGTGTTGATAGTTTTGCTTTTTCATGATTTTGCCTTCTCTTACAAGGCGCAGCAGAGTAATCACCACCCTCACAAACAAACTTCTACTTAATTTTCTAATGCTATAATCAAAAGCTGAAAAATAGTATTGTTAATTTAATTGCTTACTACTACTGCTGTTATGTTATCCAAATTGTTAATTTTTTTATTTTTATATACTAATACAACTACTAAAGTGTTGCTAATTGTTATTAAATAAAACAAGAAACGCAGGTTCCAAGCCTAAGTGTACGTTTTATCTTAATCGATAAAATCTGAAGGAATTGTTTAACTGATATTGATAGTGTTATTTGTTTTTTCTTTGGTATGTGTTCATGTGCATGTGACATGTTATTTTTTTGTTAGGTTATTTTATTTGTGCTGTTAAACATTACTAGTCGTTGCTTTGTTTAAGCTTTGTTTATGTATTTTTAAATAAAATTAAGGAAGGAGTTTTTAGAGAAAAAGTTACAGTTGGGTCACGTTTGGAGAGTGACAGGTAATTAAGCACTTAAACAAGAGGTGGACTTGGATGAATGTTCAGTTTTATAATTCAGCAACTTCCCGTTCATGTCACGTTGAATTAGAAGGTTGGTCAAGCTTATCTCACATGTTTCTTGTGTTATGCTATCGATTGTTAAGGGTTCTTTTTAGCTGTATATGACAAAAACCAAATAGGATAAATTTTTTCTTTTAGTGCGTGAGATAATTTTTATTGAGAGAAGAAAGAGAGAAAATAAAAAAATAAAAATTATATTATTGAATTGTTACAAATAATGATATAGACTTGTCTATTTATATATAACTAACTTGTACACTAAGTAAGCTAACCAATTCTAATTGGACTTGGGCTTGGATTACACAACTTGAATTATATCTAATATTATATCAGCATACCCCATAATTCAAGTTGTCGAACATACACTAGTCATAGTCGATATGAACTATTCTTAATTTCTTTCTCGAATTCAGGAATCTGTCGATCTTCAATCTTTTGGTGGAAATATCGGCCAACTGTGCTTCACTTGAGCAACGTCTAACTTCAAGTTCATCTCGATTTACCTTTTCCATCAAGAAGTGAAATCTAGCTTCGATATGCTTACTTCTTCCATCCGGAACTAGATTCTTCGTCGGATTTATGGCTAGCTTGTTGTCGATTTGCAACACAAGAGGTTTCTTTACTTCGACGTTTATTTCTTCAAGTACCGATCTGATCCAAATTACTTGACATGTAGCATAGGATCCTGCTATATATTCAGCTTCACACGATGATAGTGCCACCACATGTTACTTTTTCGAGCACCATGAGATTGAGGCACCGAAGATTTGAAAGAAATATCCAGTTATGCTTCTTCGATCTTTCTTATCTCCACACCAATGAGCATCTGAAAAACAATTAATTGTTGCTTCTTTGCCTTCAGAGTATCGTCGAAATAGTATTCCATAATTTATTGATCCTTTTAAGTATCTAAGGATTCTTCTTGCAACCTTCATGTGTGACATCTTTGGTTCACTCATGTGTTTGCTCATTAATCTGATTGTGAAACCTATATCAGGTTGATTGTTGCACACATATCTCAGGGATCCCACAATTTGCTTGAACAAAGTAACATCGACTTTGTCTTCCTCTCTATTCTTCTCAAACTTCACATTTGATTCGATAGGTGAGGATGTAGGATTCAAATCATCCATTCTAAATCTCTTGAGTATCTCTTTGACATACTTCCTTTGATGTAGCATTATACCTTGCTTCGATATTTGGAATTTCATTCCTAGGAAATAAGACAATTTTCACAGATCAGACATTTCAAATTCTCTCATCATCAACTCTTTGAACTTCGACAAGTTTTCCAAGATATTTTCAGTCACCAGCAAGTCATCGACATTTAAGCAGGTGATTGTTATATCTTGTGCCACAACCTGAACATAGACACTGTTATTTCTATAAAATTATGATTGTCATACATTTTGGTAAAACCAATTTGGAAGCAACATGTTGAACAAGATGTTCCAACTTTCAACTTTCAACATATCGAGTAAGATGTCCCTACAAGGAGATAGGACATCGCGCCTGGAGCAGGTGACAGTTGTGGTTCAGCTAATTTGTTAGCTACTGAATATTTAGAGAATATTTAGTTAGCTAATGTGGCGTCCAAGATTGACAAATCAAAATATTTTATGTTGGTTTTCGAAGATTTGCTTAGTTTCTAAATATGGAGATATTTTAAGAAACTAATGATTGAAGACCTATTTTCTTAAAGAAGATTTTGCAGACTTTGTGCAGCCTCATTGCTGCGATTTTGAAGCCCAACTCAGTCTAGAATAAAGTTATAAATAGACTGGTGTATACCTAGTATTAGGTGGAACTTACGTGTGTATTTTTATTAGAGTTTTAGAAGCCTTATTGTTGGGTTGTAAGTTCTGTGTCAGATGTTTATAAGCTTTTAAGCATTGAACATTTGTGTGTCAGATGCTCATAAGATGTTAAGCATTGAGTATTTGTGTGTCAATTCTCATAAGCTTTTAAGAATTGAGTTTTATGTGTCTTGGAAGAGTAACTTTCGATTTTGTTCTCTACTTGTGCTTAGAGTTGCTCCAATTGCTGAGTGTAATTGAAGAGGGATTTGAGGAGGGCCTCATACCTAGGTGTGTCTTAGGTAGAAGTTAAGCAAAGGGTAGTGGTTAAGTGTGTAGGCTGTAAACTGGGATGTTTGTTGTGAGGTCTACAAATTGATACTATCTAGTTAATTTCGCCTCTGGTTTGGTAGCCCTCAGAGTAAGAAGGTTGTTCTGAACTGGGTAAGCATATCTTGTGTTATTTACTTTCAGCACTATTTTATTTTGTCTATACATCTTGTTGTTGTGTGTGAAGAAGGATCCAGTGTCTTGATATCTCTTAGGATATCCGAGATCTGATAGCCTGAATTTGAATTGGTATTAGAGCAGGCATCCTGCTCGGACTTTGGGTGAGATTCAAGGAAGTTACTTTCTGGTGCAATGAACAAGGATGTTAGAACTGTGGTTAAAATACCTATTTTGAATGGTACCAACTATGACAGTTGGAAACCTCGTATGGAAACCTTCATAAAATCCTTGGGTTACAAAGCCTGTAGAAATGTTGTCAAAGGATGGGATCCTCCAAAGATTTTGGATGCAGAAGGGAAGGCCACGGATGCGCTGAAGCCTGAAGAGGAATATAATGATATTGATGAGTTAGGATACCAGTTACCATATCTTAAGTAATCAGCTGATTAAGTGATCGAAAATTCAAATGTCCAAACCTCAAATGCCACAACCAACTATCCTTGTGGTCGACAACAGTTTTTAGACATTGAACTTCAGTCGAACTGATCATGGTCTTAAATGTCCTGTTCTTCGACATAGGAGATTTCAAGACTAAATTGTTCTGGGTGTCGAACAATTTTAAAGCTTTGTCTTTCATGACAACTGAGAAACCTTTTTTGACCAGTTGTCTAACACTTAACAGATTACACTTTATTCCAGGTACATATAATACATCTTTGATCATAACTTTCCCTCTATTACTCATTTGAAAAACTATGTTTCCAGTACCTTCTGCTTGCAACGAACTATTATCAGCTAGTTTTACCTTGCTCTTCTTCGACTCATCGAAATCCTCCAACCACACCTTTTGACCAGTCATGTGATTCAAACAACCTGAGTCGATGAACCAGATATTGGATTCGATATGGTTATCTGCTACTGCAGCCATAACTAACATACCTTCAGAGTCATCTGAGTCTTGGCGTGCAAGGTTCACTCATTCGTCTTTTCTTGTCGATCCCTTGTTTTTCCTGTACCAATAATTCTTGGTAAAATAACCCCACTTTTCGTAGTTATAACATTGCATACCTTTTTATCTTATTTGTCCTTTCGACAGTTTCCTCCCCCCTCTTTTCGAGGATTCAGAAGCTCTATCTTCGACCTGATGCTTGTGAGGGTTCGACCAAGACTTCTTTCCTTGAGTTTTATCGACTTTTCCTTTGAATTTTTCGGAGTCACCATTCCCTTTCCATGATTTAACTTGTAGAGCTTGTATCGAGTCTTGAACTCATTTCCTTTCAACAATCATAGTCTCATGCGCTTCCAACGAACCAATCAAATCTTCCAATTTTAGGGTTTTAAGTTGATTGGATTCTTGAATAGCTATGATAATGTGATCAAAGTGAGAGGTCAATGTTCACATTACCTTTTCAACTACCATATTATCAGTTATGGTTTCACCACAACCCTTCATGAGATGGACGAGTTTCTGGACCTTCGGCACATATTATGCAACTTTTTTGTCTTCTCCCATTGACAACAATTTATATTATCGATGCAAGGTCTGCAACTTGACAACCTTGACTTTCTCACCTCCTTCATAATATTTGACCAGGATATCACATGCCTCATTCGTCGTTTCAGCATGAAAGATTATATCGAAGTTAGCAGTATCGACCGTCGTATGAATGCAATACGCAGCCTTGCAATCCTTCTTCTTAGCTTCACTGTGGGTTGTTTTCTGTGCGTCAGTTGCATCTACAGCCAGTGTAGAAACGTCATAGATAACCACATCTAGGGTTTCATGAAAGCCAAACAGAGATTGCATATGTTTTCTCCATCGAATCCAATTATTGCCTTCAAGAGTTGGAAGAGAATTTAGAATGATATTGTTACCATTCATCTTCATAGTGGTTGATTGACAATAACCCACGATTCCGAAAATACGATCTCTGACAAGTGATTCTTGAAAACACAAAC